TGGCACTGCAGGCCCGGGGTTGAACCCTGGCCCCTGTGCCTGCTTGCAGGCACTTTAATCTGCTGAGCTATTTGCCCGGCCCTAAATATACATTTTAAAAAACAGTATCGAAGAATGAAACTGGCCATTGACCTGCAGTTATGATTCTAGAGTCATTCCTTTAGGAATCATTGTCATCATTAAAGGGCTTTCCTGCCTCGACTATAAGAAAAGTTGAAAGAACTAGCTCTCAGTGAACACGTAGTGCACGCCAGGCACTGGGTGAGCCTTTGGGCTTCTACTTCAGAGAGCTACTGGTGAGTCTGGCACCAAAAACAGCACGGCAAGGCAGGCTTCCGTGTCTGAGCAGCTTTCCCTGCTTGCGTAAGGAGGGGAGACAGAACGCACCTTGGGCCTGCGCACGAGCCCTGTCTCAGAGGACGTGGCTCTTCACCTTTCCCTTCAGAAGCAGCAGGGAAGTCTTCTTCCCGTGGGACTTTTAAGGGCAAATGCTTGCATGCTCCATAGCTGCGAGGGGAAAATGAGCTGTTTATAATCACTAGCGAGGATGGTTCAGCGCATGATGTGCTGTTGGGAGAGCACCTGGCACGGCCTGCGACCCTGTGAGTGTGAGGGGCTGGGACTCTGTCCCACACATCATTTGACTGCACTTACAGGGACGGTGCGGTCACCACATTTTTATGGATACTTCTTGTTTGACTATCAACACTTGTATTCCTTAAAACTGTGTTTGTCTTCATTTAGTAGTAACAGTTAATATCAGGGCCTTTTTTGAGGTTCTTCTTTGAGCTCCACTGCACTTTTTAAAAAGAGCAAAGCTTGTAGTGGTGGCCTGAAGAATGCCTTCAATAATTCCAGCATGAGGAGATCTTAGTTGACTTTTATAACTGAACTTTGTCTTCCTCTTTAAAACTGTCCTAGGCATCTGTGAATCCTTCAATGTGGACGTGAAAAATTCCATGAGTTTCAGTGGCCCAGTGGAAGACATGTTCGGATACACTGTTCAGCAGTATGCAAATGAAGAAGGAAAATGGTAAGCCAGCGTGTTTTCCTGTTGTGTCATTGTTTTACAAGGTAATGGGAAATATTATTAGACTGTAAGTTTTTTTTTTTTTTTTTTTTTTCTGGATGAAATTGCAACAGAAGGAATCTTTTATAGTACAAAATGTAGTCTAGTCATTTGGTAATCAAAACTGACTTCAAGTAAAAGAAGAAAAATTCCTTGGAACTTTAAAGGAAGTGGTTAGTGATTTCTGTTAAAGTTTGGATTGACCTCAAGGAAAGAATGTTACTTTGTAAAGAGTGAGTGTCTTAATTATTCTCATTTTGGAGTAGCTCCAATACACTGGGCTGAAATGCAGTTGAGAGGGAGGGGCGGTGACACCATGGAAAGCTTGCCACTGCTTTTGCAATCTGCGGCTTCGATTTTTGGTGTTTCTCTGAGTTTGGTCTGCTGCATAATGAATCATACTGGATTCTGTGATACACTTTAAGGCTTGTCACTCTTTGGTAAAGTTAATTTTAAGTAAGATTTTAAAGGTATATTTAAGTTATTGAAAATTACAAAAGATGAATATTGGAGTTCTTTGGCCTTGTATTTAACCTAACTATGGCAAATGGGATTTTCTAAAGTTGGTTATCATAGAAAAATGAACAGGAATTAGTTAAACTGCTCTAGCTTAATAACCAAATGAGCCCATCGTTGTAGTCACTGCTGCAATAATCTGTCTACTTAGGCAACAGTGATGTATCCGTCCATAATAATTGTTTCACAGATAGAAAGATACATCTTACCTTATCCTTTTAATTTGATTCATTTGAAAATAAGCCACTAAAAGCTATCAAAAATATTTTGAGTTCTCACACTTTCTAAGTAGAAACTACGTTAGATGCAGTATGGAATGTAGGCGCGGACATGACACAGGCGCAGGGGCGCCGCTCTCCACTACTCTCTTTAGCAACATCTCAGAGGAGAAGCCTAGTGAGATTCTGAGTGGTTAAATCCCTTGTGTTTCGCTCCCCAACCCACCTCCCACTTTTAGTTAAAAAGGCCAGGTTGTTCCATTAAGCACTAGATACTGTTTTACTTTGGAGAACTTGAATCCTGTCCTTTAGTCTTCTCTAAGGGTGAATACCTTCATAAATCATATGTAGTGTGCATATTTTATGAGTATCCACCTACAACTTGAAAGTGTTAGACATCCCCCGAACCGACCCTGTGCACTGGTGGCAGCGTGCCTAAGTGCATGTGAATTCACTCTAAGTGCTACAGATGTACTTTAAAAATGTTGCTTTATTTTTTGTAAGAATTAAAAGTTAATAGAAAAGGTAGTCAGGTTCCTTTTACATTTCAAGAGTTTACAGGGATGTATGAATTTCTTTATATCTTTGACCTAGAAATCACATCTTTTCTCAGTAGCAGAATATGTTCTATCT